TAAATCATGGGAACCGAGGAATCGATGGCATTTTGGCTTAATCGTTGCACCCTGAGCCTGCGATGAGCTAACGCAAACTCGATTTCTCGACTACGAAAAAAAAACAGAAAAAGAGGGATTTAAGACACTTGGCCTACAGGCCAGTGTAATTAACAATGCCAATGTCAAAGGTTTGAGTAAATCTGTACCGGATTCTATGGCGCGCCGTTTCGGCCAAAAATCATTCAAGAATCAGAATTCATGTCGTGAATAGGCCAAAATTGAAATTTTACAACCATTCGAGATTTTACAGCCATTCGAGATTTTACAACCATTCGAGATTTTACAGCCATTCGAGATTTTACAACGATTCGAGACTTCGAACTTATTCGCTGTAGTCAACAAAACTCCAGAAGCGGCATACGCCACGGGCCCTCACGGGCCTTTATAGGCGCTTACTCTTTTCGAATTTTTTCCCTGCTTTGGCGCGGGGCCGAAACGAACATAATGCGCAGCAGGTATATATATACTTCTATAGGTTAGGCCACATAAAATAAATTTCTTGATTCTCATCACTACACTTTGAAAATGTCGAAGAGGCGGGAGGTTTATATTTTATATTTTATATTTATATAATTTAATTAATACATATCAATAAATAAAAGTGTCACAAACTGAAATAAACATATTTCTCCACGAACAATCACTGGCCCTTGAACTGAATGCGAAGTTGCATTTAAAATGCAATGAAATTTCTTTCAAGGTTCTATTTGTTTGAAATTGGCAGTTTAAAATGGCACTAAAAACCCAAAATAAAATATAAAAAACTTAACTGTCTTGAAATATTTTGTCGGGCGGTACATTTATATTGTATAACAAAATATAAAAAAATTTCACGCGGCTCTTACAATACAGTCGGGCGGTGATGAGAATCAAGGAATTTATTTTATGTGGCCTTAGTATATACTTGTCACAGATGATATTATTGCTGACACTCTTTACTAATTATTGATGTATACAGTTTCTCTTTTTTTTTGTAAATACGCTGGCAACTTTTGGCCGAACTACAAAAGGAGATTTTTATGTTTTTGAGTCTTTCTGAATTTAGTGTTAATTTAAATTGCCGTGTGTGTGTGTGTTTTTTGGCGGGGGGGGGGGGGGGGGGCGCTTATAATATGCCATGGGTCGCTATTATTATCCAACTTATCGCTATTATTACCCGGTCTATACTTCTTGGAGTTCATGAAAAAACACCTGTTACAGCCGATTCCGTTTGACAAAACATGACTGTTTCTAGGGTCAAATGACAATGTTTCTAAGGGGCGGATAAACAAGAAAGGCCGTTCTTTTGAAAACGGAAAGCCCATTTCGCCAAACAGAAGATGTAATATTATAGACGAAATCAAATTTAAGGGAGGCACTGATAAAGATGCAGGTGTTTTCATGGAGCGAATAAGTTTGTGAGCGAATGAAGTCTCGAATCGTTGTAAAATCTCGAACCGTTGTAAAATCTACTACTACTACTTTATTAAATAAATTTTTCAAAATAATTTACAAGAAACCACCTACATTTAGCAAGCTATTCGAGGTAGGTGGCTTTCAATTGATTGATAAATAGTGTATCAATTTATCTTAATAGTATAAATTAGGAAATATTGAAAACAAAAACAAAATTGCCTAATTACATCTCCGAAACTGTTTGCAATATTGTGGCGAAATCAACGTAATCATCACAAGCCATCATGGTATTGATAAGAATGATCTTGCAACGTGTTGTAAAACTATGTTTATTTAACGAACGGAGTGAGATAGATAGAGCTTCCAAACTTTAACACCAGCGTTAGCAAAGGATTTTTGTGTAATATGCAACCTTGACTTAGTTTGATAAAGATTACCGCGAACAGCAGATCTTTGATAAAGATTACCGCGAACAGCAGATATTGTATTGTAAAATCTCGAATGGCTGTAAAATCTCGAATGGTAATTATTTAATCTCAAATAGCTATAAAATCCGGCTCGAATAGCTGTAAAATCTCGAATGCTTGCATGTAAAATCTCGAATAGCTGAAAAATCTCGAATGGTTATAAAATCTCGAATAGCTATAAAATCCGGCTCGAATAGCTGTAAAATCTCGAATGCTTGCATGTAAAATCTCGAATAGCTGAAAAATCTCGAATGGTTGTAAAGTCTCACTTTTGGCCGATTCTCGACATGAATTCTGATTCTCAAACTTTTGGCCGAAACGGCGCGCCATAGGATTCCTTCAGTGTTTTTCAAGTATATAGATTCGTGAGGCGTTACATGTATAGCTTCAAGCAAAATAGCTTCAATGCGTTAAGTATATTAACTGATTTTAACACTGCATGTTAATGTTATTATATGCGATGTTTTGACCCTGTTTGACATTTGAATTTAATAACAACACTGAGATCCTGTGCCTCCCAGCCTTGCAGGGTTAACTCGTACCAGGCAGTAGAACTGTTACACGGGAAGAAGTTTGCAAAAACTGAATGAAATTTCTAAAAGTCTACAATCCGTGGCAGAAACTATGGGACAGCTGCTGTAATTTCATATAATTTGAAAGGAATAGCGCCCCCCCCCCCTCCGGTCTTCCAGTTCAATGTTGGGCCGACAAAAATCTGATGTCTGAGTGCGAGGCGCCAACATTGAAACAGGTGGGGGGAGGGAGGGTGGAAAAATGTATCAGGAAATGGTATATTACAACCGAATGCATGTGAAAACTAGATTGTCCCAATCTATTTTGTCAAAGATTGTAGTTACACCGCATTTTTAATATATTTCTATTAAAACCATAACAAATTTGACAACAATTTTGAAAGATTTAATTAGGGTGTACATCAATTTCGGCGAGATTCATGCAATAGTTTAACTCCAGTACTCTTCAATATCCTACCATATCATTGATCCTATATTCCCGGGCAATATATAAGTTACATTTTATAACGTCTTTAAACGAAGAATGCGGGTTTTTTTTCTACTTTTTTAATTTTGAATTTTAACCAAATGATTTGTGTTTACAATTCCAATTACAATTACATTCGTAATATGCGCACGGTAGGCTGCAAGCGTCAAGTTAAACGTTTATCCATTCCTGTTTCATACGGCAGGACGGTTGGTGTTATGTTACGTACTTTCTGAATTGAAACAAATCTTTAGCCGTGATAGTGCCTCGAAAGCTGGAAGGCAAAAATATTCCTCGGTTCACAACTAGACGCATTATAATTTATAACGTATGTTAAGAAATAATGCGTCGCGAGAGGAGGGACATTTCACATGATTTTGTGGTGAACACGTGTACGCTATACGCAATTAAATCTATGACCTAGTGCTATGATGCTTGCTGTCAAAGAATATACAGTATATAGATTATTTATACTGCGAAGAATAAAGATAAGCGAAACATTAGTTTGCCAAATTAAAACTGTACTCGTTGCGTCGAAGGCTGAAAGGGGAAAAATTTCCTGACAAAGAGGCGCATTATAACATCTGTAGGAGAAACAAAGCTTCGCGAGGGGAAGGATAGCCTTTTGCATATTTCGTTTTATTTTAAAATGCACCATGTCTACGGCTGTCTGCGCAATTAAATCGGTAAGTTTATAAATGTTGCCTACTGATTCACGCAAAGAATATACTTCGAATACCTTTTATGGAGCTGTGTTGTAAAATTCAGGATCTGAATTCAATCACGCAATGCACTGAAAAAATACAGAGTAATTAATCAAGTACTACGTTATGTAAACGAAACGTTTCAGTGGTCTATCAGGACAGTTCCTTAAATTAAAACGTCGAAGGCGAATAATTTCCCCACAACTAGGCACTTCTCCATGAGAAATAAAGCTTCGCGAGGGTAAAGATCATGTTTCACACGATTTCGTCGCAAATCAATCATGTCTACCCTCCTGATACGCATGCAATGAAATCAGTAAGCGTGTAAATGTTACCCACTGACCTGTGTCCAGTGGTGGCGGAACGTATTTTACTTTTGGAGGGCTAATTCCCATATATTGTCCAACTTGGGGGAAGGGGGAAAATGTATTTTTCGCGGGACCTATAACATACAGTATTTCCAACTTTTTAATACACATACCGGTTTTCTTTCATCTTTTCTGAACTTTTCTGTACATTTTATTTGCCCAAATTTTATATATAAACTTCAATATTTGGAATCTTTTACCTTTTATTATTTATTTTTTTTTGGGGGGGGGGGTGGCTGTGGTCCGTGAAATGTCGCGTTTTGACACCCATAAAAAAAAAACTAAAAAAAAAGATTCCGCATTCTTATACGGCTCACAAAAACAGGTACTCTTGTAAATTTATATGTATATAAAATTTGTAACATGTAAATTTATAGTATGTTATTCTATGCCGATTGGCGTCCTGAGATTTACCTGAAACTGATAAAGAGAACTTCAACGTTTCGAGCGAAGATACCGAAGACCATAATCTGTGAAGATACGATGGTCTGGATTCGAAGCCCGGCAAACTTGAAAGCTCTGTACCTCACCCTGTACAAATCCTTTGTCTCAACTTCATTAAATATTACTTATCGTGGTTACACGTTTCCGGGCACCTCAGCCATCCCTATCGGACGGTTACTTAATTATGCGAAAATACAATGAGTTCTATCACCGTGACCGTGCAAAATTAACATAAACTCAGAAAAAACATTATACAATGACTCCATTTACTAGTGTTTCCAGACCAACATACCTTAATAGATTATGTGTAACGATTTATTACATTGTCACAAATCATTGTCAAATATGTAAATCACGTGTATGCTTCACAATGTAGCTGCCTAGCTCTCAAACAGACCATGTGGATTTGATTTTACGTCTCCCGGCCCCCCCCCCCCCCCCTCACGGACTTGTCTAACCCAGTCAAACGAGAATTACTGCATTTCTGGTGGTGAAGTCGCGCTACGTTCGTCGCGTTCAATTTTAACAATAGTAAATATTATCTTCAAAATCATTCTCGAGGCTGCTTCCGGCAGGTAATCATGGAGTTAGAACAACCGCATAGTAACGCATCACATGAATCGAAGAAAAAAGCTGTAACAATTGCCTGCTTTGAAGTCAATCTGACAATAGCCAACGTATTTTTTTCGTTTTTGTCAATCGCCGGTCAGGTTGGAATGAAAGTGACCTTGCCTCTGTGGGTTGACTCAACAATACAGACGCCTTCAGAAAGACATTCAAGTCATGCTATCCAAGCCAATGCAACTGGTAATTTATCGAACAAAACTAATCCCTCCTCAGGAGATAACGGGATGTACAACCCTGAAGTTGATGCATATTTTGTCTTATCATTTGGGATCATAGCTTCGCTTGTTCTTTTTGGAGCAGCGCTGCTCTTCATTCGCCTCTTTCGACCAAATCAGCTCGGCGAGGCAGAACGTAGGTTCCCACACTTGCAGCTTTTTTTAGCTGGCTTCTTCAATGCAATGAATGGAGTTTTTGTCGTGTTTGCCAGCAGCGGAAGCCGGACAGCTCCCTACCTGCAAGCAATTCTCGGCAATGTCATGATTCCTTTTATTATAGTACTTCGGTGAGTAAAAATTCGTCACTAAATGCATAATCAACGCAGTTGAATAAACTTTGTTAAGTAGGGTAGGGTCCGCGTAGCAGAGGTATGTTTCATGTCATCATGTAAAGTTTAGTTTTGACCGACGGCTTCTAGAAAATCTAATAATAGACTGATAAAATCGAATTGTTTCCTCAAAAACGAATCAGCTGGGGAATTTCGGTTTTTTCAGTGTCATATTACCATCCAGCAAACACATTGTAGTTGAAATTTGCTCGCTATGAGATGACCCTAAACGCATCTCTTCTAGATAGGACAGTCTGAGCATAATTGGTATTAGATCACATAATAAACATCTTCCCTGTAATTTAGATATTTGGTTCTGCGTAAAGTGCCGACCCTTCGGAAATTCGTCTGTGCCATGATTGTATTGATTTCATTGTTCATTTGCCTCATTCCGAAGATATTTACTTCTATTGATCCTGAAGCAGACAGTTCTGGTGGAGCTAGCGGGGTTGCAGGGATCTTGTGGCCACTGTGTTTTATGTTTGGTTCTGTAAGTATACAAGGTGTACAAAAGTAGTGCAGTTCTCAATTCAAACGTAAATTTCGAAAAGAATAATAAAGCAAACCGTTTATATTTACATTCATTTTAATTAAAGCTTAGTCAATAGTCATTCAGCTTTTCAACGGGCAGGCTAATTTTAAAATTTGAGGATTGGTTTGCGAAAAATATTATTCTAAGTGACTGAGATTGGGATGTAATATCAAATCGATACTAACTTACAAATTTTGGCGACAAAATGGAAAAATTGAAGCATTTTAGTAGTTCATCAAAAGCAAGAAACTGCTGCATTATATCCACTACTTTTGGTTCATATACTAACTTTGCATGCATTACGGTCCCGGTTTAACCGTGGTTAACCTTGCACTAACTTGCTAATTCGGTCCAGCTGTTCAGACTACGGCGCGATTCGATGAAGAGAATGAACGTTTTATGCCTATTTTTGGAAATGACTATCAAATAACATACAGTTTTAATAAACGGCATCTAAAAATGATGTATTCTGCTAAATTTTCCTTGTGCCGTTCTTCCTTACATTTTAGACACAAATTATGCGTTGTTCGAAAAAAAAGAACATGATTTGAAAATTGAAATAGGATTAAATGTTATTATTATCTCAAGGACTCTCTGATTTTTTATATCACATTAATGGCTTTCTCGGGCTTTCTTCCCGAGTTCCTTCCTTCCTTATTGCTTCTGCTAACAAATCTGCCGACTCTATCATGTATTCTATTTAAGTAAAAACATAATTGGAACACTCGTTGAACGTTTACTTTGTTAATCTAGAGCTTGAAATGTCCACCGTAACAATGCGTAACTGCCATCTCTCATCCATCCTAATCCATTCTCATCCTCCTCGTTTGACTGGGCTTAAATCTTCCGTGCACGAGCTTCGTTTCTCAAAACATTCATTATGAGCTTAACTTCCAATATTTTCACACCTGATAATAATTTCCGGAAAAATTATCTGCACTTAGAAAATAGACCTTTGGAAGTTAACGCAGGGATCATGAAGCACAAAAGCATGTTCTGAGTCATACCATGACCATGTTCTCTTCAATACGAGCGCATTGGTCAGCATAATCGAGACCTGACTATCATATGGCACATTGTTATGTCTGCAAAGTCAAGAGTCAACTTTACGTCTAGGAAATGTACATGTTATTGTTCATTGAAACCGGATCTTCTGACGTTTTCAATGTGGGGGATCGAGTTTTTATGGAATATGAGTTTTATCCGCGCGCAGTGTTGTATTCTGACGTGCATATTTATGTTTTTTTTACAACGCTGACAAGCAATCAATCAACCTCTTTATTCAAATATAACTAGCAATTTAGCGACATGCAGCAGTTGGGACTGGAAGAATATGCATCTCGTTCCCCGAGCCTGCGATCCTCGGGAAGGAACGTGAGGCTCTGGGGTAATCCGTTTCAGGGAGGAATCTGATTGGCCGTTGATATGGAATGCACAGTTCAATCTTAGCCAGGATTCCTGGAGGCTCGCGTTCCTTCCCAAGGATCGCAGGCTCGGGGAACAAGATTGAGTCATCACATGAACATGCAAAATATTGCTCAAAATTAAAACAATTTGTTTCAGCACAGCTGATTCGCTATGTACTACAAAATGATGAAAATATAATTAATCCCCTAGGCATGCCTCTATCTACAGGGTGTCTAAAAAAAGAAAACCTTTAGAAATTCACCTCATTGTTATAATTTGAATGCCTGAGCACTATCCTGAACCCATGGATGGTAAAATATTGACAGGGTATATATATTAAAAAAGGAGACATTTAGAAATTAAAATATTTTTGTCAAAAGCACAAGATTTTCTGCTCCTGGGAATTTAAAATAGCTTAAAAAACTCATTAATAATTCAGGAGCAAAACACAAAGAAAAATCATAAGCGGGTCGTGGTTTTATACAGGGTGTATCAAAAAAAGTAAGACAATTTTGAAATTGCTCTCAATTCCACAATTCTGTTCATGAAATGTCATTTTTGCTATATATGGATTGCTTGAGTTCTTAAATTGTGGAAAATATAAAAAATTTTGAAAATAGAAAATTTTGCGATCCAGGGGGGTGGTCAACTTTTGCTCCCCTAAAAGTGGCTTGCGCACGGAAATGACAAACGGTATTCTTTATTTGAGTTCATGTATGAAAAGTTCGCTATTTGTTGCCGATTTATGATAAAATTTCGGCAGGATTTTACCGAGTACAAATCCACCGAAAAGCCTATGAAAACGTTACATTTTTCTCCGTTGGTGCTGTTCTTGCTTCATTATGAATTCATTTTTACTCCCATGAGAGTTCCATGGAATTTCCATGGAATTTGTGCTTTCGAGTTGTTTGTGCTGAAACGCATTTTCTCGTGTAATACCCCGTACACTTTGAAATGGCGATGCCACAATTTACCCCGCAGCAGAGAGCTTTTATGGTATCAGAGTTCCTCCGTAGCAACAACATAAACTTGGTTCGCCAAAGTTTCAAGAATATCCGGATGTACGATACACTTCACGTGCGAATACGTGAAGGGCATCGTACACAAGTCTGGATATTCGTTCGTGAAACTTTGGCGAACCAAGTTTATGTTGTTGCTACGGAGGAACTCTGGCATCGCCATTTCAAAGTGTACGGGGTATTATACGAAAGAATGCGTTTCAGCACAAACAACTCGAAAGCACAATTCTCATGGGAGTAAAAATGAATTCATAATGAAGCAAGAACAGCACCAACAGAGAAAAATGTAACGTTTTCATAGGCTTATCGGAGAATTTGTACTCGGTAAAATCCTGCCGAAATTTTATCATAAATGCAACAAATAGCTAACTTTTCATACATGAACTCAAATAAAGAATATCGTTTGTCATTTCCGTGCGCAAGCCACTTTTAGGAGAACAAAAGTTGACCACCCTCCTGGATAGCAAAATTTACTATTTTCAATTTTTTTTATGTTTTCCATAATTTAAGAACTCAAGTAATCCATACATTTTAAAAATTACATGTCATGAACAGAATTGTGGAATTGAGAGCAATTTCAAAATTGTCTTACTTTTTTTTATACACCCTGTATATACTATATATATTCTAAGGTCGTGGTTTCGAAATCCAGCAGCGGAAAGCAGAATTTTCCTCTTGCTCGTTTAAAAATCATTCACTCGAGAACTTTTCCACCTGTGATATTACCGAGTGAACAATATCACAACATCAGGCAACACTCGCAGAATAAGTATTGATCGATGCTGAATTGATATAAACGACTATGTTTACGATATTCAGTGTAAATCATAATTTCCAGTCCTCAATCAGTCCTGTCCATGTAGCTCAGTTGGTAGAGTGTCAAGCTAGTGTTTCGTAGTATATAGCAGTTCTCCAAAAGGT